AAAGAAGGTGTCAGGTTATTGGATAAATGGTTGAAATATGGCCAGGTTTATGGTAGGGGTGGTGGCCATGGGGTGGGGTGATGGGATGGTTGGGATGGGTGTTAAGATTATGGGTTTGGTTTTAGAGATCAGAGGAGGGGTCTGGGCTGGACATTTCAAGTTGTAAGTTATCTACATATGGACCATAATTAAAGCCACACTTGTGGATGAGGTCTCCTAACTTTAATTTTGTTCCATGACTTCTTGTTTGAATAACTATTAATATATAAATTTAATATTCCTAGAAGATTTTAACTAAACCACTTTACCTCTTACTACAGCCAGTGGGAAAAAATTATTATCCTGTCTAACAGTGATCTATGTGTAATAGAAGATATTGCTTCTTAGAGCCCAGAGTGCTTTTTCCGTAGAGGTGTTTTGTTTCTGTTTTTGAGAGAAGTCAGATATCATCCTGTTTACCTTGGAGGGTATATGAAGGTGTGGGTGATGTGCTGTATTAAAGGTAGTTTTGGGGCTTCCCTGGTGGCGCAGTGGTTGAGAGTCCGCCTGCCGATGGCAGGGGTCACGGGTTCGTGCCCCGGTCTGGGAAGATCCCACATGCCGTGGAGCAGCTGGGGCCGGGAGCCATGGCCGCTGAGCCTGCGTGTCCGGAGCCTGTGCTCCGCAACGGGAGAGGCCACAACAGTGAGAGGCCCCCGTACCGCAAAAAAAAAAAAAAAAAAAAAAAAGGTAGTTTTAAGATGATATAAAGAGTATTAAAATAATTTTTTGTTCACTAACATACTAAGATTTACTGGTGTAAGTTGGAAAATGTTTAAAGGAGAAATTTTAATATATTTCTTGCTAGAAATTTATTATAACATTTTTTTTAATTAATTTAATTTTGGCTGTGTTGGGTCTTCGTTGCTGTACGTGGTCTTTCTCTAGTTGCGGTGAGCGAGGGCGGAGCACAGGCTCCGAACGCGCAGGCCCAGCGGCCATGGCCAACGGGCCCAGCCGCTTCGTGGCACGCAGGATCCTCCCGGACCGGGGCACGAATTCGCGCCCCCCGCATCGGCAGGCGGACTCCCAACCACTGCGCCACCAGGGAAGCCCACGGTAGCTTCTCTTTTTGCGGAGCACAGCCTCTAGGCGCGCAGGCTCAGTAGTTGTGGCACACATGCTTAGTTGCTCTGCGGCATGTGGGATCTTCCCGGGCCAAGGCTGGAACCTGTGTGCCTTGTATTGGCAGGCAGATTCTTAACCACTGCACCACCAGGGAAGCCCTGAACTATAAAATTTTTGAAGATGAGTTTGTTGTATAGTATTTAATTCAGTGTATTCAGTGGTATTTCCTACCAAATGATAGGAAACATTAATTTCATTCAGTCTAGTCTCAAGTTAAATGACAAAATTGTATTATTTGATTCACTCTCATGTATCTTTCTTAGTAGGCAATTAGGATGTTCTAGTGGTGATCTGTAAGGTGTTAAGTTTGCAAGTCCTATATTAATGAAACTGAGCTAAGGCGTGGAACTATTTTAAGTTCAATGCAAAATATGACCGCCTTACAACCAAGTTTTTTTGAGTTCAGGGAAGTGAGCCCTTGCTTTATTGGTCTTATGCTGGTCCTGCAGACCATTCAACATGGACCATTTCAAACACCTCTACTTGTAATTCCTAAACCTAAATTTCTGAACTGTGCTAGGGAAAATAATTCAATTCTGTGGATTGGTATCATAGAAATTCTTGGTCTTCAACTTTTTTTTTCTTTTAGTTTTATTGTTTATTTACTTTTCTTCCAGTTTTATTGAATATAATTGACATAAAGCACTGTATAAGTTTAAGATATACAGCATAATGATTTGACTTATATACATCATGAAATGGTTATCACAATAAGTCATCTCATATAGCTAGAAAATTAAAGAAATAGAAAAAAAATTCTTTTCTGGTTTGAGAACTCTTAGGATTTACTCTTAACAATTTTCGTATATAACATTACAGCAGTGTTAATTATATTTATCATGTTGTGCATTGCATCCCTAGTACTTACTTATCTTATAACTGGAAGTTTGTACCTTTTGACCCCTTGGGCTCCAAATTTTTTTTTTTTTTTTTTGGCTGCATTGGGTCTTCATTGCTGTGTGCGGGCTTTCTCTAGTTGCGGTGACTGGGGGCTACTCTTCATTGCAGTGAGAGGGCTTCTCATTGCAGTGGCATCTCTTGTTGTGGAGCACTGGGTTCTAGGTGCACGTGCTTCAGTAGTTGCAGCACGCGGGCTCAGTGGTTGTGGCACACAGGCTCTAGAGTGCATAGGCTTCAGTAGTTGCAGTATGTAGGCTCAGTAGTTGTGGTGCATGAGCTTCGTTGCTCCATGGCATGTGGGATCTTCCTGGACCAGAACCTGCGTCCCCTGCATTGGCAGGCAGATTCTTAACCACTGCACCACCAGGGAAGTCTGGTCTCCAACTTTTAAATGGGTCATCAACAGTGCTTGGAAACCTTTTTATGTTTCCTCCTTCAGCTTCTTCTGCTTTTTCACTCTTTTTTTTTTTTTTTTTTTTTTTTGCGGTACGTGGGCCTCTCACTGTTGTGGCCTCTCCTGTTGCGGAGCACAGGCTCTGGACGTGCAGGCTCAGCGGCCATGGCTCACGGGCCCAGCCGCTCCACGGCATGTGGGATCTTCCCGGACCAGGGCATGAACCCGTGTCCCCTGCATCGGCAGGCGGACTCTCAACCACTGCGCCACAAGCAGGGAAGCCCTGCTTTTTCACTCTTATCCTCTAGATTTCACCCAATGTTGAGCATTCTCCTATCAACAGGTTACCATTTCATAGAAGGAGAGAACACAGGCCTGAATTCCTACACCTTCCTGCTCCCCATCTCCAAATTTATCTACACTGTACAATTCTTAATCTTTTTTGACCTGTTAATACAGATTTTATTCTTAGTTTTAATCCTTTCTTGTGCTCATAGGATAAAAACTATCAGTTATTGCGTATTTTTCTCTT